TTGTTAGTATACAATACACAATTAATAATAGTAATGATGATAATAATATTAATAATAAAAACAGTCATGTACTTTTGTGATGTTAGGAAAGACTTTGACATATGTGTCCTAATGAGTTGATGTGATTTTGATGACCACTGCAAGGATCTACTCGACCTAAGAACAAGAAAATAAGAAGGAAAAGGTTTTACTTATCTAAAAATCATACATAATCTGGACTTTATGAAAAATATTAATCTCTTTGAGAATTAAGCCCATCATTATAGCTAATGTCAAACTTGTTTGTGAATCAGTGACAGCAATTTGCTTTGAAGATAAACATTTAAATATTTATCTGTCTTGCCTTTTTTAATTTACATTTTTTCTTTTCCTCAAACTTAAAGAGACAAGCTTTTCATTTCAAAAAAGGAATAATTTAGTTAGTACAATAACAGCAAGGAAGTACAATGATCTTATTGAGTTTTTTATGAGAAGTGAAAAGTTGAAGGTTATTTTACTTTAATTAATATGTCCTTTTGTGGAATAGATTCTAGCATCTGATCGTTTTCTGTTTACAGCGAAAATTACTGTTTTGGTGTGGATTATTAACTCCTTTCACTTAGTTTTCAATGATTGTATTTGTGTCGTTTTCATGCTGGTAAAATAGAATATGAAAATACTGAAAATTACAGATATAACTGGAGGATTAAATTTAAAGAACAAATTTTACTAACTATACTTCAAAATAAAATGTTTTTATATAAATCTTAGCATCAAAATTGCTTTCATAAAAATGTTCTAATGAAAATAACCTTGATTTTTATTAGCCTGTTTTCTTTTTTAAATCACACTATGAAGGAATGATTAAATCAAATGTAAAAGTATAGAACAATTTAGCAGGCTTAATAGTCTTACAGATAAGATAGAAATGTTTCTGCAATTATCTTGAGAGTTCATGCTGAACTGAATTCTCTCCTGTAAGCACTACACTATTTTCACCTTGTTCTGTTTCTCTAAGGAAAGTTAATGTGGTTTTTAAGACAGTTCATCAAATCATTGTTAAAAACCCTTGATCTCACTAATTCTGTTGATACATGAGCAACTATCATCATCCCCTTCGGAGTGACTGATCTGGCCAGAGCTCAGAGAAAACACGTTTTATTTGTCAGAACACTAGATCCTCCTAAGCAACAGTAGTATATTTCTCAGGCTTCCTACAGATACTGAAAAGAGGGCTCCTTCAAGAGGTATTTTCTGGCCAGGTGTGGTGGTGCACACCTTTGAATCCAGCATTCAGAAGATGAGTCCTCTGTGGGTTTGAGATCAACCTAGTTGACTTAGTAAGCTCCAAGTCAGCCAGGGCAGCAGTGAGACCCAGCCTCAAAGACAGAGAGAGGGTGGGGAGAATGCAGATACACTATCATTTTATTTCTTATATTTTTGGTTGCAGATGGTGTTTGTATATTTCTAGTTTACAAAATAAATGCTGCTTACTGTCATGTATGAATCATCATCAGTGTGTGTGTGTGTGTGTGTGTGTGTGTGTGTGTGTGTGTGTGTGAGTTTCACACTTCCACGGCTAGGCAGCTGTGCTCATCCACTTAGCTGAATGGAGCGTTCGTTCTGTAGCATCGGTCCCATCTCCTCAAAGATAATGCTATTTTTCTTTTTAGTTAAGCCTTGAAAAAAAAAATCTAACGTAGCCTTGATGACTGCTTCCCACCTTTTTAAAAAACAAATGACTTTTAATGTGAACACATGCAAACTAACATTTCACCTTTCTTGTATCTAAAATTTATATAGACTTTAATTTCATTTTGGCAACAAATGCCATTGGCATATTTTCTGAATTATATGACCTCCACGCTCACTTTTGAATGGAAAATAAAAGTAAAACCAAAGAGTATGATACTTCTTTTTATTATAATGCATAATTAACCACTCAAAATAATAACTTTAAGACTTTCCTTCTCTTTCGCCTTTCCTTCCCTCCTTCCAAGCTTGCCTCCCTTGTCTATAACCCATAATCATTGTTGCATGGAAAATGCAAAAGGAAACCAGAGCGTGATACTGATTTTCATTATGTTTCATAATCATCAGGTCAACATGGACTTTTTCCACCTTATTCCTTTCAATCCCTCCTTCCTTCTTCAGGCATGCCACTTCGTCTTCCTTTTATTCTTCATGTTCCCATTCCTTTCTTTGAAGAAATAAAAATATTCTAAATATGGTGAAATAAACATTAGAATTAGAGAGTAAGGACTGTTTGTGAAGATGATTGTAATCCAATTTATAGGTACAAATAATCTCAATTTAAAGCCAATACCAAATAAATGCTTCGAGTTAGTTAATGCCTATGATTAACTCAGATCTCTAGTTTCCATTAGAGAACATAATAATTATCCTCCAAGGTGGCTACATCTCACAACTTCAAACACCTACGGAGTTGGTTGTATTTGATATCTAGCATGTTACTTCCATTTCTTCTTGTTCTATTTCATAATACACAATGGAATTTTTTGTACTTAATAACACAAATTTTCTACAACCCAGTGCAAAATGAGTATAAGAAGACTTTTGTATTTTCCCCTTAATAAACCAAAAGTAAAAGTAGGTTAAATTAAGTGTACTAAATATTTTTAAAAACTGTAAAACTGTAGAGGATTCTGTATTCAAATTACTCCACGGATTGCTTTGTCATTCATCTCTATTTATAAGGATACTGGAGACCGAGGACAGTGCATGGGATTTATGCAAAATGTAGAATCCTTAGCAACGGAGGAGTAACCCTTAGTGTGAGTCTTCATTCTACAATTAAACATTAGCATATCTACCTATATCAGTCAAAAAGATAGGGCATGTTCATCCTTATGCCATCCTTATGATTCTCTGTTCTGGTTAATTGCTTAACTAGTTCTGAAAATTATCAGTTCAAGAATTATTACAAAAAGAAGGATTTTACTCTACAAGGTCGTAATCTGAGAAAACAAGACTGAAGAATCCTTCCTTTTGTAAATTGAGGCTGACTGTATTCTGTGAGTATTCCCACCTCTGATGTTGTTAGGAAGGCAAACTGCACTTGAAGAGATATGTCTGGCATTTTGGATTCGCTACAGCTTTTGATCCTACTCTGTGAAATGCAAAAAATAATTTAGAATCACTTGCGGTATGGGGGACACATTTTCTCTCGGAAGCCATCTCCAACTAACTGGAGCAACTCCTTGAAGACCTGTGTTCAGACATTTCCACCTTGAAGAGGAATACCCTGGTCTGATTGTTACATTCACCATGAGAACAGGACAGTGAAGAACAATAATAAAACCATGGGATTACTCTAGTGAGCTGTATTTGTGTTGTTTTTAGTATTGGCAGTGTTATGAACAAAGATCGTACTGACATCCCTCCATGTTGTTTAGTTACCATGTAGATGAGAAAGGTTGAGGACTGTGCACACAGTCTTTTGGTTCCCATGGGAATACAGCTCTACTACTTAGCACAAAAAGGACCACTTCATAGAAATAAAAACACAGTATTCACTTGCTAGCACTTTTCCAAAAATAGAATAACTGTGTTTAACCTTCAGTTAAAAGTTCTTCACTTTAAAGTAATTATTAATTGCGAATTGGAAATATATTGATTATGAGGGCAAGGAGACTATTCCCATAATCGGTCTAATATGATGTGTTTGGTTAATATGACATTTTTCACAGTACTTCATATGTTTTGAGTTTGTCTTAACATACTATATTTCTTTGGGGAAATGCAATCATATCCAAGAGTATTCAGAGGGGTAGGAAATTGATTTGCAAGATTAATTTACTATAATTTTTAACAAAGAATATAAAATTTCAAACTTAAAAAATAATTAAAAGGTAAGTATAACATTCTTTTTTTAGAAATAAAAATCAATAAGTGTATTCTCAGAAGTAAAATATTGACACTGAATATAACTTCCAAATATTTCTTTTTTTTTTTTTTTTTTTTTTTTTTTTTTTTTTTTTTTTTGGTTTTTTGAGACAGGGTTTCTCTGTGTAGCTTTGCGCCTTTTCCTGGATCTTGCTCTGTAGACCAGGCTGGCCTTGAACTCACAGAGATCCGCCTGCCTCTGCCTCCCGAGTGCTGGGATTAAAGACGTGCGCCACCACCGCCCGGCCCAAATATTTCTTGAACTCCGAATGTTTCTTGCCACAATAACACATAAAAAACATGCTGTGTCATATATATTGAGGTTAATCAGAATGCATAAACCCATAAATTAGGGATAGCTTTATTTGGTTAATGGCTAGGATGTAATTAGATAGAGTCAAATTAAATGAATCCTTATTAGTCACTGGGTTGCAGTGTACTAGCCACTCTCTGCTTGTGCCCACCAGAAATCCGCAATTGTGAAGTGATCCTGATGGTAAATTGATAGTCTGGGAGGATGTTCCACAGCTCGTAGTAGGACACTGCTCTACACTGCTAGAACACGTCATAAATCCTGGTGGCACAAACTGTGAATCTGTTCTACTCCAAAATAAACAAAGCCTGTTTTATTGTACATATAAAGGAAACCTGGCCCTGTTAAGTGTTCAGTATGTTAAGTGAGAAGTTACAGTTTTAACTTACCTAATTATAAAAGTAATATAAATTTGACTTTTCAAAACATATGGTCTGTGCTTTGAAGCTCCTCTTGTGGGCTACCATCCATGACAAAAACCTGACAGGGACTCCTGTCTGTGTTTAACCCTTCTCTAAGTGACGTCATTTACTGTGTCCTGGAAATCAGTTTAGAAAATCATGTTAGTCTACTAAGCACTTCAGATGAGGCAATTCCATGAAGCATTCCAAGATTATCACAAGGAATTGCTCTCATGTGCCATAAAAGAAAAATGAGCAGAATATGGCCTGTTGAAGGAGTTACAGTTTGACAGCCCCTCCCACAGAAGCACTAAAGCCATCCAGTGACAGTTAGCTCTGGTTAGCACTCACGGGTTGGAAGTCTAACAGTTGCCACACTCGGGGTGTGTGGGGACATTCGCATGTGTGTCCCTCAACCGATGATGAGGGTTTCAGAGCCGATGCTGGACATGGACATGGGAAACTACAGCGAAGTTTTGGACCCGACTTACACAACTTTGGAGTTTGACACCATGCAGATTCTGTATAATTCCAATGGTAAGTTTTCCTATGTAAGAAAAGTAAGCCCCAGAGGAGAAGGAAATGGGGCTCCTTGAGGTACGGGCTTAGCTTCATTGCTGGGGAACCCAAGAACTGCTTTGAAGGCCACAAATCTGAGGCTTTGTGTATCATCATGAAATGTAAATTCATGTTGCCATGGCTTTTTAATATTAGAGGTAGGATAGCTTATATTTGTGTTATAAAATGTAACCTCAGAGTTCTATATGAGCCAGCTGGGGTAAGAAGCATAGTTTCAAGGGCTATTTCATTTGCTGTACATAGCAGTAATAAGTAATTTTGACAGATTGGCCTTGAAAATACATTTCCTATGCAATGTTTCAAGTGGCTTATGGGCATCTTTACATGGGATCCTGGGGAGTTTACCGATTTCCCCCTCCCTCTCATCCTTTCAGAACTCTGCTGTTGATGCTGAGAAACTACACTGAAAATGATTGTGCAGTCTCTGTGCCGGCCACAGATATAAAAAGAAATAAAGGTTTATATTATAACCTTAGGAGGCAGGCTAATGTTTAGCTTCACAGAGCTTTTGGCGTTTATCTACTGTAACATTTTAACTTTAACTAAGACACAGATTGCTTGGGGTTTGGGTCTTTATGTAATACAGCTTACTATTCACTCTGGATGTATATTTCTTTTCTAAGGAGAAAGTTTACTCAAGGCAGATTGTGACTGTTATAACTTAGAGTTATGTATGCTATGGGAAAGGTGTGTATGTGTCTGTGTGTCTCTGTGTATGCTTGTATAGTTTAGGACTTAGGAATCATCTTATGATTATCTTAATAATCTACTGAACTGTGAACTTCATTTATATTTTCAATAAACAATACCCTAATAGTGGGGAGACTTTTAGAAATTGAAAAACCCAATTCTGTAATTTCACAAAAAAATACAGAGTGAAGCTATAGTGTAATTCTTAGGAAGACATAGTTTTGATCAGTAAAGTATTTATAGTAGAATCAGAGTTTTTAATAATAGACCACAGATTCGCAAGGAGTAGGTATGGATGTTCCACATATATCTATTCTATTTATCAGTGTATACTAAAATAATTCACATTCATAGTTACTTATACAGTAGTGTCTAACTTGTTTGCTAGTAACAACATTGTCAGCTGCATGTAAATATGGCATTAAACATGAAGTCAGAGTTGAATTTGTTTTTAATGTTATCTAATAGAGTACAGTTGATTCTAGATACTTCATTTTAAAATAATTTTTATTATTTAAAGCAACTTTTAAATTTAACTATGTTATGATGATATTCTTCGTGCCCTCTCCCAAGTTTGTCCAGTCCCAGCCCCTCCCTCCCCACCCAACTTTAAATTCTCTCTCAAAGAACAAACGAAAACCCAATGTAACAATAAAAATTCCCCAAACCAAGAAATTGAAATAAAACAGCACCCATAAAGAAAAACAATAGAACAGTATGACAACAGCAAACCCACCCAACTGTAACCAAATCAAAGGACACAAACACACTGGAGAGTCCATCAGGTAGGTCAACTGTTCCTGAACACGAGACCTTCCCTGGAGTGCCTGATATGCCCCCACTCCACTGGAGAAAACCGACTTTCCCTCTCCCAGCAGGCATGAGTGATAGCTCAGTTGTTAACCTTTACACTAGTGGCTAGATTTTCATTCAATCATTTTTTAAAAATATAACAAAATAAAACATAATAAGATAAAACAAAACGATCATATTGAAGTTGGACAAGGCAAACCAACAGAAGGAAAAGAACCTAAGAGAAGGCCCGAGAATCAGAGACACACTCATCACACACTCAGGAATGCCATAACAGGACCAAACTGAAAGCCATAGTATCTACATAGAGGGCCTGGTGTAGACCTGTGAAGGCATTGTGCATGCTGCTTCAGTCTCTGTGAGTTCATATGAGCCATGCTTAGTTGATTCAGAGGGCTTTTCTCCTGGTGTCCCCCATCTCCTCTGGTCCTTATACTCTTTCCACCTCCACTTCTGGGGAATTCCCTGAGCTCTGAGGGGAGGGATTTGATGCAGAGATCCCATTTAGGGATGAATATTCCAAGGTCTCTCACTCTCTATGTAATATCTGGCTCTAATTTCAGACACTTCTAACTTCCACATTGCTAATACCTTGTTAATGTTAAAAAACATTCCTAATATTTGTAATCTACACTTTATGATGCCACATCATTAATTTTCAATATATTTTTATTAAAGTTTTTTCAATTTTATAAAATTACATATCATGCTATTTATCTATTCAAAAATATAATGTATTCATAAGTAGAATATGTATAATATCATGTAATATAATAAATACATGCCAACTTTTAAATTTATCCATTTTTATTAGAGATACAATAATGGTTTATTATTATTATTCCTGTATTAAGTATTCAGCTTATGTTTCATTAATATTTTATGGTTGAATCTATGACCTTGTGCTTACTAGGGAATTGCTTTGTCATTGAAGTATATCCCTAGTCAACCAAGTTTAAGTTTTAATATAAAGCCTAATGTATTTAATGTCTTTGAGTTCATTGGAATTCATGAGATATTTTCAACAATATCAATTCATTAAACTATTTATATATAACACATACACATACACACACACACACATATACACACACACATACACACACACACATACACACACACACACACACACACACACACACACACACACACATATATATATATATAGTATTTTTTTCTTAAAACTGTATTAGATGTTCCACTGTAGCTGGGCACAGTTCAATGAGGTGGGACACAGCAGGATGAGGAAAACAGATGAATTCTCTGGCATCATGATGTTGATATTCTGTGTAATGATGAATTCATGAGTCAACCCATTTGTACTGCAATTCCAGGAAATGATAATGTACCTTGAAATAATAGGAGTTTGTGGAACTTTAGGCTCTGCTTGAAGGATAGAGGAGAGATGACTGTGAATTCTTAAAGAAGATTCATGCTGAATGTGAGAAGCGATGAGAAACCTGAGGAAAGTCCAGGCAGCTATTAAAAGTGCAGTTGATGAAAGCAGGTCTCAAAGAACACAAAGGGTAGCAGGGGTTTAGGACAGTGAACAGGATGGAAGAGACAGTGGGCGGGGAGAAGTGGAAACAGCCAGAGCGGGAGATGCTGGTGTGCAGGCCATTTTGGGTTATGGTGAAATAACTTTCTAACGAGAGGTCATAGAGGTACTGGATGGACAAAGGTGACATGAAGTGACTGCCTGTTAGAAAATAAAGAGAAAAGGAGTCCAGGTGACAGTAAGAAAATTATTTAGAAAGCTATTCTAATAACCCTTGGAAAGGATGATGGTATTGGATAAAAGACTGAGGGTGACGGTGAAAAGTGGGGTGAATACTTACCTTAACTATGGGGTCACAATAAATAAGTAGTGATAGAAAGAATTCATGAAAGACACCTACAACTTTATCTCTGTTGTGGAACCCTTGACTTTTATGAGGATGACTGAATGAGGCAGAAGATCCACTGGGGGCTGCAGGAAATCTAAGTTCTCTGTTCAACTATTATGCTTACTAGGTTTCAAAATAAAATTCTTACATAGGTTCTTTAGTCTTTAAAACTGTATTCTATGGTGTTATCATGGCATAAATGGAATCTGAGGATTTTTCTGTCGTACAATTGATATCTCATGTCATGAGATTGCAGGAGATTCACTTGGGAACGGTGCTAGTTAGGGGATTGAGCCCAACAGTAACCCAAAATTAAATGATCACAAATATGAGACAGAAGGCAGTAAGGGTTCCCCCATGAGGCAAAGACTGGCCTGCTAGTGCTCAGTAGAGCACTGTGCTAAGTGGTCAGCCACACTAACTCTTCTCCTCTTTCTTCAACAGACAGTTCTGCCCCAGAGACCACAAGTATGAATACCACAGACAGTGGTGTCAACTGTCTGTGTGCCATATGTGGGGACAGAGCAACAGGGAAGCACTACGGGGCGTCCAGCTGTGATGGCTGCAAGGGATTTTTCCGGCGCAGCATTCGGAAAAGTCACGTTTACTCCTGCAGGTATTATTGGAATGCTCATTTTAGCAAAGTTTTCTTTGCTGGTGTCTGAAGATGCCGTGGGGATGTAACGAAAGTGAACTGAGCACTCTCATAACTCTGTAACTTGGAACAAAAGTGCCAAGCTTCAAAAAAGCGCATGATTGTATGTGCAGTTCGCATTCACACCAGTAGTTCCATCCTATGAACAGTTTGAGACTTGTAAATGTATATAAAGAAATTCATATACCTACCACCCAGTTCAGAGCAATATAGTTGAACCCTCCAGTGGACACCTCCCTGGCCACTCTGTCATTTTCCTCAGTGTTCCAGGAGGAACCACCATCTAGAATTTAGGGTTAATCTTTTCCTGTGTCTCTTTATTGTTTTATCACATGTTCATACACCACTAAACATTTGTAAATCTGTTTAAATGGTTTCTTATGGTGTGTAGATTGATTTTTTAAATTTCGATTTCAGGGTTACTACATCCTAGATCTTTAAGAACAAAATTATAAAACTACAGATGATTTTGTAACTTACCAACTTGAAGAGTGAAAATTGATTTTCACTTCAAATTAATTCTAATGTTAAATTTTATATAATCGACAGTGTTTTGTCTAGATCTCATTTAATTTCTTCGTATGTCCATCCATTCCTAATAGTTTTTTGGATACTACTTAGTCAATATCATAGCTCAGTTTACGTTTAAGTATTTATCCTGATTGATTTCTATGATAATTCTTTAATATAGATTGTTTAGGTTGAACTTGAACTTTTGACACAACTCACTTACTTTAACAGAAGAGAATAATCTGATTTTGTTCTATCAGTAATAGATATTATCACTGGTTGTCATTGTTACTATTTGGTTGGAATAGAGATTGAATTCAGGGCCTAAAACATGCTAGCCAAATACTCTACATTGCCAGTCCAGCAATGCTGTTGTAAAAAAAAGTTGGACATTTGAGAATTCCCAACCCAGTTACATTTGACTTTTTCAAGATGTAATAAAAGTTAATACATCACTCCACTAATATCTACCTCGTGTTGTCTTATAATATTTGCAGGGGAGTTTGATGTAGGTTTATAAAAATGTAAATCCTCCACTTTTGAAATATGACAAAGAGAAAAACATTTAGATGGTATTGTGTATATACAAAGCACATTCCATAGCGAAGTATGAATCATCTTCTCCACCAAACACATTTTCACTATGGTTACATGACACGCATAGAGTTCTTCACGTTAACACCTAAAGGAACAAAGGAACTAGAGGTTCCATTGTTCTGAGTCATGTGCACTGTTAAAGTAAAACACATCAACATGAAAAGTGATGATTCTGACAGTGGAATCTGATGATATGCGCATTTCCTTTATGGGGTGAGTAGGGAAGAACACCTCCCAGAACATTTTTTGAGGTTTTTTTTTGTCCCCTCGGAGCAGAAGCAGGTGGATGTTTTGTGTCTGTCTGCTGTCAGCTATCTAAGCTTCTTTACAGTTTTTAGTATCAAGTAAGCTCTGTGATCTATTTTTAATCACTATTATATAGATGCAAATTGAGAGACCACAATGTCTTTTTAGTAAAATTTACTTGCCTCAACTGCATCCCATTTCTTAGATTGATAAATTCTAATTTGACTTTAATAGTCCTATGATGCTGAAGCTGGCCTTTCCCTTCTAAACTACTTAAATCTTCTACTTCAATACTATTCAGGGATGCTTTCTATAACATTTGTTAATGGTCCTGTGTACTTGTTAGATTGCAATTTTTTTGAATGAAAAATATAGGCAGCATTCATCTATTCTGTGCCTACGTCAAGATCTTGAACATGTGATGAGCTTAGTGATGCATGTTCTCCTACTTTTGTTGTTTGATTAATGTTAACTAGATGTACACTTGTGATTTTTGGTCATCTGATTTCCTCCACTGAATCTCTTCATCCCCATATTAAAAAAAAAAAAATGTCTTTTCTTACTCTGAGAGCACAACTCACTTGGAGCTTTATTCTTACTCAATGTTAAGTCACTGTCCATAAATTTTAATAGGTCACAAAACACATTCTGTTACCCTCATCATTTAATAATCATCTGTAATAAATGAGGCAAGTGCATCACGTGTAGCTAGGAACTTAGATTTTAGCATATACCGAATTGTGTGACTATCACTACCCTCTATTAAGAATAGAATTTAATCACTCTGTAAAGAAGACCCTATTAGGGTGTCCCCCAACTCTATGTCAGTGTGAGGAAACTGTTAATCTGCTTTCTGTTTCTACAGATTTGCCTCTCTGGACACCACATTAATGAACCATGCACTATGGGCTTTTGGTAGCACCTTTATTTGGAAGTGTTTTCAAGGTTTATGAACAGTGTAGCACGTCTGTGGGTCCTTCATTCTTGCTTATTAACAAATAGTACTGTTCCATTGTCTGATATTCTTATCTGCTCATCACTCCAACATTTTATTCACTAAGAAAATACTATTCTAGAAATCGGTTTTCATTTTTCTTGGGTATACACAATAGCTTGGAATTGCTGTGTCCTATGTGTAACTCTTTGTTTACCTTTTTGAAAAACCACTAAGCATTCTTCCAAAGCAGCAGCAGCATTTAATATTCTACCCCACAGTACATAAGAGTTTCATTTTCTTCTATATATTCATCAACACTTGTATCCCTCACCCCATTCTGGGTTTTTTAAAGAGAATAAACCGATACATCATTAAGAAGAAGTTACATTCTCAGTGCTGTTCTCAACAGTCTGTAATTTGATAATTTTAGTAAATCTCAATCCAACTCAAAGTCATTTAAAATTAATAGAATAAAAACATTTAAAAAGAAAAAAAGACATGAGTATAAAAGCTATGAACCATGACACATTGTCCACCATGCTAAAATTGTTCAGCAATAAACACCAAAATTTATATGACAAAGATTTTAAAGCTAGGTTTGACGTTCGTGACTCATAATTATGTACACTAGCCCAAAATGATGTAGTCATTCAGTTTTATGTTAGTATGAAACTATCTGAGAGGTGAGCTGTGCATTGCCATGTATATGCCTACCATGAGATGTTCAATTTCTTAGAGAATTACTTTTATACGTGCTTTATATTGAGCCTGATTTGACTGAAATTAAAGTCTAAGTGGTTGCTTATGTGCTTTTTTGATAAATGATGGGTTTCTGTGAACTAATGTGTGCTTCCTGTTATAGGTTCAGTCGCCAATGTGTTGTTGACAAGGACAAAAGGAATCAATGTAGATACTGTCGATTAAGAAAGTGTTTTCGAGCAGGAATGAAAAAAGAAGGTAATAATAATAATAATGAGAATGATAATTAACATTATTGATGAAAAGTGATACCGATGTGCAAGAATTCTCATTAATCACAAAACACACTTAATAAGCTCTGATTTCCCTCAATGGGGAATCTGTCAAAGAGTTCCTAGAGTTAAAGAATTTAGCCCAAGGATACGCACTCAGTAAGTAGTAGAACTAGAGCTTATCTGCTCTGATTCTGACACCACCCTCTACATCGGCAAAATCTATAGCTCTTAAAATCTATAGATTAAAGCTATGGATGTATTGTATACACAGTTTTCATTCTGACTAACAACCCAGTATCTTTACTCATCTCATGAACATCAATTACGTATCATCTTTTTATGCGTTCCTCTATTTAAAAATATTCATTGGACATTGCTGTTTGCCAAACACTGTTCCAGGTACTGAGATTTGAACTGAGGACTTGATAGACAAGATAGTCCTCTATCTTGAGAAGTTTATATTCTATTCAATAACGGTGGCAGTGCAGACATGGAATTAGTGTATGCTGGCTTTATTTCTGTCATGTTAAGTCATCTCATCCTATCTTTTCTCATTATGATATGTTTAGAGACAAGAGTATTACACAGCCCCAACATCTGGCAGATTTAGCTGCTGTAAGATTTTATGCCTACAGTTTGTTGTGTGCCTGTGTCTGTCACGTGCAAAACGCTGTTTTCCACAAGAAGATTACAAACTTAAAAAAAAAAAGTGAAATCAAATCACAATACTGCAGAAGCATAAAATATATGAAACCCATTTTGGACATAGCTATTTTTCTCTTAATTCAGTAATTTAAAATCACAAAAATTTCATTAGCTTTTATTGCTTTGCTAATCTTAAAAGAATATTACAAAAGTAAAGTTCACTAAATTGAAGAATCAATTTCTCCTTTCACAAATGACATAGGTAATGTCACAAAAGCTCCATTAGGTAGGTGATGGGAATAATTGCATAATTTATCAAATATCTTATTGCTTTATTACTTGAAGACCAATCTTTACCTTATAAAATTGTAAACAATACCAAGCTTGCATTTCCTTTTTGAGTCTTAGGAAATAAAATTACCTTTGAAAATAGTGAAATTATATCTTCTACTGTTCATAAAATGATGGTTTGATTTTACTAAGTAGATTATAAATTAACTTTTGAGTTTCAAAATTGATGCACTCACTCTTCAATAAATAATAGAGCTTAATATCAAAATTAAGTGGAAACAGAAATGTGAATTTATGTAAAACTTGAAAGCAGTGAAAATACTGTAAATGCTTATGATATATTTCAGCATTTTTATAAAGTTTGGTCATATGGATGAAATTTAGAAAAGCAGAAGAATGTCTTAGTTTTTCATTTCTGTATATGTATTTCCACATAAATGGAAAATAATTTAAATAATTAGCTATTAGTAGGTATGATTTTTAATATAAAATGTTAAATATTTGATTTACCCTAACGATGTTAAAAACCCACTCTTTTTTCTTCCAATTTAACAGAGTCAGTAGTTGCAACTCTTAGGTCTCTGTGATATTGATGTAGAAATTGGTGGATATCATTGCTGGAGAAAATTTTGGTAGTTTGATATCTATAGCCATACTACCCTGAATGAACCCAATCTCTTCATATTTCTAACAGAACTGATTAAAGCATTAACTGAAGCAGTTGGGGGGCTATAGGTCTTGTTTTCTTGTCTTTGGTTAATGGAAGATCATTTTACATCCTTATTTTTGAAATTTAACATTGACATCTGACACTTTTTATATGAGTATCCATGCAAATTTATGGAGTTCTTCTTTTTGTTCTTCTTGTACTTAAGTATTTGGTTTTCAATAAGGGTTTTGGACTTGTCCATTATTTATTCTTACCTCTCTGAATCAAGGAAGCAGGCCTACATCTTTCAGAGACATTTTATGTAATATAAGGGATGATTTTGTCTTTCAGAGAAGCAGATATTCAGGCCTCCATCTTCTAGGGAGATACCTCAGATTGTGCAATGATTTCTGAAGCTAACATCAGTGAACATTGCTTTATAAAAGTCACAGATTTGATTAAAGCAAACATAACTAAAATAAATTTACTCTCCATTTTTGGTAGTATTTTATGCTTAAAAGAAAGTAGGAATTTCAGAATCTATGACTCACCTCTCCTGATAGTGGCTATCTTATTATCTTTGACCGGGCCAACCTGGCAGGCAGTATTCCTCATTAGTTACCTTACAGTTTTATTAACTGTGAGAGAATAGAAGACCATCTTATGAAAAACACAGCATGTCAAAACTGGGTGACCCAATATTTCCAAACATACAACCCATCACAAATTCCAAGTAACTGTATTTTATGAGCGATGTCCACAAGCTTGGCTATTCCTACCTTTGAAAGTGATTCAAGAAGAACCTTGAGAGACCATCTGTGAACTTCTGTACTTTTGCTTGTTTCTAACCATATGTCCTAGCCTACATTAGAGATCTAACTAATAATAACTGGGGTTTTCTTCCTTAGCTGTGCAAAATGAGCGGGACAGAATAAGTACCAGAAGAAGCACGTTTGATGGCAGCAACATCCCCTCCATAAACACTCTGGCACAAGCTGAAGTTCGCTCTCGCCAGGTACTCACCACACCTCAGCACTGGCTCTGTTCAGCAGAACCCAGTGTCTGCTGATAGGAAGTGCTGTAGTCTGAATTCACTGTTTAGTGCTCATTCGTTGCTAGAGTTAACCTAGACAAGCTCAAAAGTATAACTTTGAAAGTAGTAGGAGAATCGTTGACTTAATTTTGAAATTTTTTGAACAGGACCTTATCTTTACATTGTTGGGATGTTTATTTATGAAGCTGAGTAAAAATAAAACACCATGATGCTCTAGTGGCAATATTTTTTTTTTTTTTTTTTTTGGTTTTTTCGAGACAGGGTTTCTCTGTGTAGCTTTGCGCCTTTCCTGGAACTCGCTTTGGAGACCAGGCTGGCCTCGAACTCACAGAGATCCGCCTGGCTCTACCTCCCGAGTGCTGGGATTAAAGGCGTGCGCCACCACCGCCCGGCTCTAGTGGCAATATTTTATTGGTTGAATCTGTGAAATCAACTGCCACAATTTTGAGAGACTTTGTCTTCAGAGTTTCTTCCCTTAAAATTTATGTCTGAACTCAAGAAGTTGACTCACTACCTCCTGAGGGAGCGGGTATTTCTGAGAATTAAAGGCAGAATTCACAAAACAGGGAAGAAAGTAAATTTCTTTATTTTCAAATTTTAGAATAAGAATATCAGGTGTAAAGTTAAAATGGTAAATCATTCATTTTACACATAAAACCCAGTCATTTAGGAGTCTGATATATAATCTTTTGAAGAGAGTATATTTTAGCATTTCCTTTATTGGAAGTGTTCAGGGTGTTTGTCTATGACAAAGCAAATCATGACATAGCTAAGTAGTTAATCAGGTCCTGTAAGGAGGCAATGAGTCTCTTTTCATTCTTGATAACACAGGAGTAATATGATGAGGTTACCATCGCATTATCATCACTATTACTAGATTACTTGATGATACAATAAAGCATTTAGAGAATGACTTAAAGGGGAGCTGGAACCTCTGGGTTCCCATGACAAACACGCCCATGCACACATACACACACACATGTGAGTCCACGATTAAAATTAGTTTTCCAAGACTTTAATTAGGTAGCATTTGCTTTCTCAGGAGAAAACATTTTAAAGTCTCATTTATATTTTCACACAGTCAAAAGTGATGTGCAATTCAAAAATGATTATCATTGTGTGTTAAGCTTTCTACCATTGTCAAGTCAAAGGTTTGTTTCTTAATTTTGTTTTTATGTCCTTCTGTTTAATGTGGCATCATTAATATTTCTAGTTTCTTCTCTAAATATTTCTCACCTTTTATAAATTTTATCCACTAGCTATTTTTCATCAAAATCAATAAATTAAAGATGGATTCACTTAGTGAAAATAAGAGTTTTAACTAAAAATAAAATCACAGAGTTTATTTCTTGTGGTTACTATAAATTTCTTTATGTAACCAGTTTGAAATATAAAATTTCTCCTAAAGCCTAACCTGGTTTACAGATTTGGTATTTAAAATAAAATCATACACTCAGAGTGTGGATTTATATACATGTTTTAAATTAGCTTTAAGCCAATAAGGATTTTGTTTCTCATATCTGATATTAAAGTACTATGATAATAATAATTTTTGCTTCCATGCTGTTTACTTTATATAGTCATAGAAAAAGGATTATTATCCATCCAGTAGTTTCAATGATAAATTAATATAATGTTCTATTAACATTAGATCTCAGTCCCAAGCCCCAGTGCCAGTACTGACATAAACGTTAAGAAAATTGCAAGCATCAGTGACGTTTGTGAATCTATGAAGCAGCAGCTCTTAGTTTTGGTGGAATGGGCCAAGTACATCCCTGCCTTCTGTGAACTGCCCTTGGATGACCAGGTAGGACTTACAAGAAATCATGACTCCCTTTGAAAGTGCTTTTGGTCTTTGCCAAGTTCTTGTGCTCTTTGATTTATATTTGTAATTTGCTATATTAGACAATGGATGAAGTATTTTGTGAACCAAACACAGGGTTTTTCTTGTCTTTTTATCTCCTTATTCTGTCAAGAGACAGAACCATCTTGTGTCTATTGTCAGGCTCTAGCAAAATTATTAATTGGCTAAGAGTTGATCAGGACAATCTTCTGCAGTCTTGGGGTTTAAATATTTCCATGAGGAAGAAAGATAAACAGCAAATAACTACACTCATGAAGTTTTTTGGCTGTTAGAGGAGTAAATGTTTGGTAAGTTGGAGGAAGAAGTGGTGTGCCTTGGTGTCTTGAGTTTCCTGAAGGTACAAAATTAGGTCCTTCAGAAATGCCTGGTAACTCCTTGACAGAAACCAAGTAGAATGTGTTGGTGTCTTGGTGGATCCTTTATATAATTAGCATGTAAGATTTTCCTTTTGTGCTATCAGTTTTATTCTGGCACTTACTGTATTTAAATATAGATGTGGCATAATGTCCACAGTTTTCATATCTGAAATCTACAAAGAAAAACAAACTAAGATATAGGCTTCTTTATAAGCATTTTTAAACTTGACATATTTATATTAAGAAATTTTAATTAATAATTAGAAACTTAGATTTCCTCATTAGTACATAAAGATTTATTTGGATTTGATTCACTTTGAGCTTTTCTTCCTTAAAGCATGTATACCTTTTTGTAGATGAAAATAGTCTTAAAATTCCTATTTCTTTCACACTGAAAGAATTAATAAAACTAAGAGTTTAACCCAGGGTGTATACACCCTCTGACCAGTGCAGTTACTGACACAGGAAAACCTCACCAAATACAAGAGAAAGCAAGTGTGATTGTGTAAAAATCAAGGAAGATGGAAATAGTCACATACCAGAATGGAACAGAATCATCATAGGAAGTTAGCAATTATATTTCTAAGAAGGTATTTTATTTCGTGACAGGAAAAAGTTCCATGAAAACTGAAATCACTCTTACAGTGTTTTGTAACTCCCTTCCTGGAGTGAGTCACAGTTATTGACATGTCATAAAGATAGCTTGGCTCAGAAGATTATGCCAGAGTGAATAATGGTAAATTGCTAAAACCTGCCAGTCTCACCCCAAGCAATATAAGTAGGGCTGTGTTATTTATCAGCTTTATATTTTTTATTATCATTGGTCTTTAAAACCTACTGAGTTATATATGAAGACAATGGTGCAAATATTGGGAAATTGAAGATCAGTAACTAGTTAAACAGCTTTTGTTTATTGCTCATTAATATCAACAACATAACATTTGTAGTTATGGTTAGTGAATGCCTGTTGTGGGTAAGGCACTGGGAATGAACTCTCAAATGTGTGATCAAGTATGTTATTCCATTTAATTCTTTTAGGAGCTCTGTGGGGTAGGTGTTATCTCCATTTTACAGTTCCTGAAACTGGACCCCAAATCAGTTTATTCAATCCATAAATCCATGACATGACTATTATTATTAGGAGACTACTGGTTTCAGTTAGAATCTGAGGGGATCCTGCAGTAAAAGTGAAGATTACTTCTTTGGTCTCATAAACTTTGTGGTCTATTTTGGAGAGACTGATAATAAAAAAAATACACAAATTATGAGTAAGTTGACTCTAGGTGGGGATAAGTTTTACAAAATTCCATAATATGGAATTGGATGAATAGGGGTGGGATTGGAAGGACTTTATGGTGGGAATCAGAGAAGACATCCTCCAGACCAGAATGGTGGGGGCCAAGGTCAAAGGAGAAGAATTCTGAGTCCATGAACACTGTGCTCAAAGGTTCTGAGGCAGGTGAAGCAGCATGAACAGCGAGTGCTGTAAGATAAAGCAGGAGGAGGAGGCAAAGGAGATAATGTCCACTCACCTCATGTCACCCGTGACGCCACAACTGAGAAATCTAGATTCAATTTTAAGGACAATATGAAACCACTGAAAAGTTTTTAGCTGAGATGTGACATTGATTCAGCTTCTCGTATACATATATGAGATGTATCAAAAAATCAGAGGTGCATGAGAACCAGAGATGAAATGAAGAAGTAAAAATAACCATGGGGTGTGCTGGAGTGGTCCAGGACACAAGTGACAGCCTGAGCCAGGGTGGAATCCACTGAGAAGAGAAACAGCAGATGGATTCAGCTTACTTGTTAATAAGCATCCCTGAACAGTTGGAGAACACTCCAAATAGGCTCCTGTTTGGACACAAAGAACCATATTTGGATAATGATACTATTTACAACTGTGCAGAAGACATAGGAGAAGTAGTCATTTGGGATGTATTATGCTTGCCTTGTTTCCTCTGGTTTTTAGTGATGAGGCCCAGCATGTAACTGAGTGTAAGAATGAGGCTCTGTTGAATGGTCACTGCTGTGAATCAGATGCCCAATCTAGAAACAGGCAGGACCCAGCCATCTTTCCTTCTTCTTTACAAGCCTATGGTTGGCTTTTGTTTATTTAATTTATTATTTGCAGGAAATTATGTTTATACATATTTCATCATTTAATTTTAAGGAAGACATTTGGTAATTCGTTTTATATATGAAAACAAATGACATCCAAACCTACTAGCAGGTGCATGTAAGGTTAAATAGGGAATCAAGGAGCAGGCCACCAAGCTGGGGTATAAACTCAAACCTGCTCCATTTTGCTTGCCTCAGAAACAGAAGATCTGCTTTTCTCTGCTACCCCAAAATCAAACATTTCTGATGTGCTAAGATAGAAACTTAGGAATCCTAATCACTTTAAGTATGTATGAATATTATATGTCAGAACAAAACAAGGCAGAAAAGGAATCAGGCTTAAGGAAGACTGTAAGTTAATCAGACTCACCTTGTACTGTCTTTTAATCATTGCATTTTATAATTAATTGTTAAACTTGGAAACTTTCATTAAGGTGGCCCTGTTGAGAGCTCACGCGGGAGAACACTTACTGCTTGGAGCTACAAAGAGATCCATGATGTATAAAGATATTTTGCTTTTGGGTAAGATTTTTTTAAAGGAGAAATTATGCATATTTTGTATTTACAATATGTAAGATCTATTCTGCATGTATAAAGCACACAGACATTGGGGAATGGTCCTCTGATTTTCAAGGAGTATGCCATTCATCCTGCCCTTACTCAGCTCTATTGTGGTGTGTATAGTGCGTGCATGCGTACATGTTTTTGGTGCCTGGTGTGATCAGAGAACAGATTGCTGGAGTTGTTCTTTTCTTCAACTATGTGTGTCCCAGAAATGGAATCAGGTTCTCCTGCATGGATGTAACCATCTTTACTCATTGAGCAGTCTTGCTGGCCCTCCTTTTCTTTGTTTTGACTGAATGTAAGTTCAGAGTGCTGTGAGATGATGGGGAGACACTGAAACTTAAAAAATGTAATAGGGATTTTGCTCCATGAGCCTAATGCTGACTTCTGTTTAAGACTTTACAAGACAAAGAATACCATTAAATGTCCAACTATTAAATGCTCTGTCAGAGATTCCTTAGTGGGCTATTTCATACTCTTTCAATGAACATATTTATTTCCTGTGATCTGGTTGTTCATAATATACTATGCAATAATCTTATTAAAAAATGGTGGGCAATGTCTGAACAATTCTGATAGGTAGAATTGTAAGAAGCCACAAAAGAACAGAGTGTTGAAGGTAAAAATACATGAGAAGACCTGTTGTTTTCACTAAAAATTGTCTCAGCCCTGTCCTGGTAACTCAGAACATTAGGTTCTGAGTGATATTTGGGTCCCAAATGTAAAAGAATGGAACACAGTATAAGAGAAGCTAATATCTATTAAAGGCTAATATTTATTAAATAATCTGCTTTAAGTGCATTGTGCTAACATACACTATCCCATTTAATCACTGAAACAAAACTCTACTTCCCTGCTAATTCTACAGTGAAGAAATAGAGGAAGGGAATGTCTTGACCATGATGGAAGTCAGGCAGCCAAGACCTGGAATTCCAAACCATAATGGGACCGCAGAATGTACCCTGGACCTCAGCTAAATGCTTTGGTTGCATTTCTACCAAACACTGCAACTACTGTCCTTTCTGTAAATCTTTTTACAACATACGCTGGAAAACAAGTGTTCCATACCTCATTCTTTCTTGCTTTTTCTTTAATAACTAGGTCATCTATTTTCACATGACAGAGTAAGACACACACACAGAAAGAAAACTATGTACAATGATAGATATGTTCATTTGTGTGACTGTGGTAATCATTTCTCTTTCCATGTATCACACATGCACACTTTAAATATTACAGTATTTTAATCTCTCACACATCAAGAAAGCTGATATGGGAGCTGGGAGAAAGGTTATCATTTTAGTGATTGGATATTTTTGACATACAGAGCCTTGGCAAAATACCTGAAATAATCTACTTATAAGGGGGAAAGGTTAAGCCAGGTGGTGGTGGCACATAGCTTTAATTCCAGCACTCAGGAGGCTGGCAGATCTCTGAGTTCAAAGCCAGCCTTGTGTACAGCGAGAGTTTCAGGATGGCACGACTACACAGAGAAACCGTGTCTTGAAAAAACAACGAACCAAATAAAGGTGAAAGGTCAATGTGGCTCCCAGTTCCAGAGGTTTCAGTTTATAGGTGCTTGGCCCTATTGCTATGAAAGCACAGAACACCATGGTAGGAGTGTTTTACAGAGGACACTGTTCATATCAAAAAGAGAGAGAAGGCTGGTGTCCACATATTCCCTTCAAAGGGACACCTTCAGGACTGGACAGATGGATCAGTGGTTAAGAGCATTGGCTGCTCTTCCAGAGAACCAGCGTTTGATTCTCAGTACCCATAGCATGGCTTACAACCATCTGTTATTCCAGTTCACCAGGCTCTGACAGCCTTTTCTAGCTTCTGTAGGTTCTTGGCATATATGTGCAGCACAGATAAACATGCTCACCAAACACTTGTGCAGGTTAAAATAAAATTAAAATTAGAAAAAGAGCACACTTTCAGTGAAATATCCCCCTCCCTTTGGGCCCCAATTTTAAAGGTTTCATCATTCCTCAGAGGTGCTTTAAGTTACAATTCAAAAATTCAATACCTAGGCCTTTAGGAGATATTCAAGATCAAACAATAATGATCACTTTACCTGTAGCAGGATAATTAAAAATACATGTTTTCATATAACACCAGGAAATAGTAGTCTTGATTTATTTTAGAAACTATGACAAATATTTACCATAGTATAACCAGAGAATGTCTAAGATAGAAAGACCTAGAAGGATTAGCTGCTCTCTCACATTTCTGAACTCCCTTGAATTCAATTCAATAAATCGGTCAAGCCCTTTACCTCTATTTAAAGAAACTACGAGTCTTAGTTAGGATTTCTATTGCTGTGATAAAACACTGACCAAAAGCAATTTGGGTAGGGAAGGGTGTACTTTGCCTTCACCTCCACATCACTACTCGTTGTTGAAGAATACCAGGGCAGACGCTCAAGTAGGGAAGGAGCCTAGACACAGCAGCCGATGCAGAGGTCACGGTGGGGGAGAGGGGGTGCTACCTCCTGGCTTACTTTTCATGGCTTGCTCATCCTGCATTGTTGTAGACCCCAGGACCACAAGCTCAGGAATGGCATCAAACACAGTGGACTGGGCTCTCCTATATCAACCACTAATTAAGAAAATACCTAATAGGCTTACCAACACCCGGATCTTATGGAGGTATTCTTCTTAGATGACTCTAGCCTCTGTCACGTTGATATAAAAAAACAAAACAGGTGGCACAAGAAGGAAGAACAGCCTTGGGAGATGGCTGAGTGGGTAAAGTTCTTGTCACACAATTGTGAAGAATCGAGTTCAAATCCCCAAGACCCATGTACTGTCATGTGCCACAGTTTGCATCCATAGGCCCAGTACTTCTATTGGGAGATGGCAGGCAAAAGAAGGAGACTCCTTGGGTGCTCATGGGCCTGCTACTCTGTCATACAGTGTGGAACTACAAAGATTCCCTATATTACACTAGGTGGAAGGTGAGGTTGCCCTCTGACTTGCATGCATATGCTGGATCTATCCTAGGCCTGGATGCCTGACTGACATCCCCCCACCCCCGCAAATAAAAAAAGAGAGAACCTGAAAAGATGGAGTATACTATCTGTGAGGCAACACATGACAATACACATGCTAATTTTTCTCCCATACTTAAGCTTGTTTAAACTGCATCTGATCCGGTCTTACTCCAAGAGCACCAAAGCATGCTGGCTTTAATCCACTCTTAGCAAGAAAGATTCTTCAGGATTTGTGTTCAGCTCGTTAATGAGTGAGGCACTAATAGAGGTCTGACACAGAGGAAGGCTAATCATTATCGGTCGATCCTCCCCTGTCAATTATTAGCTGGTTATGAGTCTGTACTTTTGTGTTATCACCAGTGACTGGGGCTGTTAAAACGCACATGGGCGCATTATCGTTATCGATTCTCTGAGTGTTCTGATGTTCTTGCCTCCCTAACTCAGTGCTGCAGAAAGGTGCAATACCCAACACAGTCCCTGCCACAATAAACCATTCTGAACATCGATACATAAAAAGGCAAACAGTGTCCAACAGTCCCGCAGAGAAGGTGATTAATTCTTCATTTTCTCTCAGGAAACAACTACGTTATTCACCGGAACAGCTGTGAAGTTGAAGTCAGCCGTGTGGCCAATCGCGTCCTCGATGAGCTGGTTAGACCGTTCCAAGAGATCCAGATAGATGACAATGAGTACGCATGTTTGAAGGCCATTGTGTTCTTCGACCCAGGTTTGTTTTCAAAACTGAAAAGTAGTGGCATGAGACTTAAACTGTTCTTTTTCGTCTACGCGTCCTTCACTCTCACTCTCCAGGCTGATGACCTTCTAAGTCTGCCTGTGTCTGTTCCCTCACCAGATGCAAAGGGACTGAGTGACCCTGTGAAAATTAAGAACATGCGATTCCAGGTGCAGATCAGCCTGGAAGACTACATCAACGACAGGCAGTATGACTCCCGAGGCCGGTTCGGAGAGCTGCTCTTGCTGCTGCCAACCTTGCAGAGCATCACCTGGCAGATGATCGAGCAAATTCAGTTTGTCAAACTGTTCGGCATGGTCAAGATCGACAACCTCCTTCAGGAAATGTTGCTGGGGGGTGAGTGCCCTGGCATCTATTTCTTATTGCTTAGCCTCCCTGCCCATACATTAGAACAAGATGCCCCCTGCGTTTCCTGTGGCCTAGATTTATGTCATTACTTTGAGGTTCCGATTCCTGCCTGCTTTTGTTCTTCTAACAAGGCATACAAAATCTAATTTTTTACATTTAGAAAGTCTGCAGGGTCCGAGGAAGACAAAAGGTAGTCCTGAACAGATTCAAATACCCATTCTCACCAGCCCTTGGCAATGCTTGTGGGTATGGCCCCTTTGACTTCAATTCTCAGACCCTTCCATGTGTGGTAAATAGAACGTATTCCCTGCTTTTAGGGTACTGAGAACTATAGAATTTTTTTTGTCTTTAGTTTCTTTAAAACTCTAAAAACAAAGAAATAGATGCTTAGCCCATGTATGAATCAAATGGCTTAAAAATGAACATTTTGCTTCTGAAGGAATTAATTGACATAAACTAGTAGAAGAAGAAAATGCAGCTTCAGGGTTGTAATAAATGTCAGGAATCTGTTAAGGAATCGTTATTTTATGTTCTGATATAGATTAAATTTCCTTGTAAAGTCACTATATTTATTTTTGGTTTTCTGGTACTTAATGTGTTCCTAATGATATCTTTCTGAAATAAAAAGTTGTTCGTGCCATTAGGGTGAATCCAAATACTATAAACTTGAGGTAAGTGATTCTTGGAATTGCCTTAACAACAGGCAGTAAACCTAATGATTCCAGGAAGCAGCACACAAGGCCCATTATTAATACTCAACATTATGATATAGCATTCATTTCTCCAATGCACCATGAAAGCTGACATTGTCTTTAACGTGGGGGTAACTCTCTCTATTTGTTTTGAATTTTCTGAAAGTACTTTGCAAATAGCACTATTTAAACTGTCATTGGAAACATGCATCAAGGTAAAGCCACAGTAAATGTCACTAATGCAAACACTTTTGTGTCTTTTGTAGGTGCTGCCAATGATGGCAACCATCTCCATCACCCAATGCACCCACACTTGTCTCAGGATCCACTAACTGGGCAAACTATACTTCTAGGTCCCATGTCCACACTGGTGCATACAGACCAGATCTGTAAGTATCTGGGGAAAGTTCCTGCTATAGCATCTCTTAACTTGAGTTATTTGGGGACATTATAACTTAGGATAGGAAACTGTTAGTTCCCCGTAACTACAGATCTTAGATAGGCTTTACTCTGTTGTACTTAGCTGTGAGACTAAAACACTCAGTTCATTACTTACTCTCTTTACATATGATTTGAATCCCAAACTGAAGATGTAAATATTTAAATTTTTCTATTCTATATGTCTGGGCAGCATAAAGCATACAGATAGTTATTGTCTTTGTGTAGGGCCATACAAATAGCCATAAAAATTGAAACCAAACCAATAAATTGTAATAAACAATAGAACAATTATGTTTGCTCATGACCTTTAAAATTGGCAAAATCTTAAAAACATTACTACATATTGAAAATGTATAGAGAAAGTGAAAAAAAAAACAAACTTGTGATATTGATTTAGGGAGCTCTAAGGGATCAGAAACAGTGAGAAGTAACACATTTTAATTTTGTTGTTAAAATATACCTGAGCAGTTTGAGCAATTTTGTTGTTAAAAATGTAACAGAGCAACTTGAGCAGTTCTTGCTGTCTTCTTACATTTAAGGTGTCACTGTTCTAGGGGTGGTGGGACCTGGGAGAGAATGGAGCCTATAAATGAGGTGGACTAAAGTATGGAATAGCCAACTTTACTCAGAGTCTGGCACAATTTATACTTTGAAGGTTAAGAAAGGTCAAATAAGTAAAGTTCTCATGAGCTCAAGCTGTATACAATCACAAGGACAAGTCACATGTGGACAAAAAACCCCATGTTTTTCCTTAGAGTCATATAAGGATAGTTGAAACGTTTAATTGAATAACAACAGCAAGCAATGATGACTAATCTGAAGTAGACTCACTCCTGTCCTCTCCACCTGGGAGGAACACAAAAACACATTCCAAGAACAATTTCATTTGAAAGAAGCCCAGGTCACAGGACTCTTGTCTTGTTTTCCTGGACTCAGGAATCTGCTCATATGACTTCATTCCTTGTCCATGTCCTGACAGAAAGGACATGTTGTTTGTTTGTTTGTTTTTGCCTGTGTGATGGTCAGTTTTACTCATTCAGGAGCTTGAATCAGCTTCCCGTGTTTTATCTTCTTGATTTTCAATGTTCTAAAGTAGCTGCGAAAATTTATTAGGACTTTTTTTCTTTGCTGATTTCACCTCCATTGTTCTTTTTTTTTTTTAAATCAACAATACTTCCCTCACTTACACAGACCAGCATTTCTTCCTCGGTTCCTAGATGCATGTTTATACCTTGAACAGCAATACTATCTGCAGAGCTATTTCTGCTATAGTCCCGTGTAGACTTGAATTTCAATTTCCAGCACTACTGTTTATTGTCTCTTCACTGCTCTTCATCACTGTTGGCCAATTCTCCTTTCAATTGTCCAGTTTGTAAATGGCTACCTGAGTTCATCATTGTGGGGCAAGAAAGAAGGCAACTCAATGCTATGTCATCTGCTTGAACTAAAGAAAAGTTATCAGTGGCCCATCACAGAGAGATACATTGACATCAGTGACTTGTCACAAAGGCTTCTGGTATTTAGGTAGTGGTTTCTAGATGAAAGGTTGAGAGGAAGTTTTGTTTATGCAGGTACATGTGGGTAATTCTAAGTTACCATGGTAACTGGATTTTAAACCATGTTGTTGAGTGTAATGCATTTTAACTAAGCCATGGTAAATAGAATTCTGGTATATAATAATTGTGCAAAATGAGGCTACTTATGAAAATTCTTTACAATTCTAACAACTGTTAAGTATTATAGGTTGTTGGTGACAATGTTAACTACACATTAGTGTAGATTTAATGCAGGTTTTACTTTTCTAAGCTACTCTGGGGATAAAAATTCAATTTAACATGGCATCTAGAATTGGTTGGTTAATCATATGTTAGTCAATTTTCATCACTGCGGCGGTACCTGAGAGGGACTACTCAGCAGATAAGATTTGTTTTGGTGTGTGGTTTGAGTGCTTTCATTATGTGCTCGCTAAACACAGGGTAGATGACAAGACAACGCATCAGACAGGGCTTAGTGCAGCCGAGCTTCTCATTTCACAGCAGCCAGGAAGCAGAGAACAAGAGACAGGAATGGATCAGGAACAAATGCTTTCTAGAGACAATCTACAGAGAGCTACTTCCGAAGCTGAGGTTTCCACCACTCCCAACACACCATTAGTTGGAGAGTAAGACTTCAATATGTGATCTGAGGGAAATATCAAAACATAAAATAATTGCTTATGAATTTGTACCTATGAATCCAAAATTTACCTTTCATCTGTTTACTTTTAGTACCAAACCAACTAACACACTTCACTGGCTTTAATTATTGTGATATAATTTTATGCATATTTGCATTGCCTACTGAATATACAATAGTCTTTAATAACTATTTATAATGTTGGTAAACCCAGATGTTCCATGAATTTGCACAATTTGGAAGTTCCACTAGACTGTCAATCTGTGGCAGGGAAATAGCCTGTTACCATTCTGTTCTTCAGAAATAAACATTGATGGATATTTTATTGTCATATATTTTATTGACATCATTGATGGTGTCAGAGAAAAATTGTCAGAAGAAATCTATACATGCTAGAAATAATACCATGTATTTAAATCACACTTGTTATTAGCAAATATTATTTGAACAAAATAATGGATTTATGACATTTAAACACATCTGTGTAAACAATTTACTAATATCCACCCATCCATTGCTCTCTCATCCCCTTGTAATGTTATATTAGATTTCATAAATGCTAAAGGACAGAGAGAAGGAGAGCCCAACACTGCCCAAAAGGATGTAGAATTCTGTCCCTGGGAAACTGATAATTTATAAGCTCAGAATTCTGTTAAACACATTAGCAACGCGTTAAGTATCCTAGGCATCAGTTGGTTAGAGTTTGAAAACTTGACTGGCTGTAGATTCCTTTAAAATGCTAGTGTTCAGCATTTAAGAATTACATGTCACTATTTCCTTCCTTTTTTCCTCTTCAGAACCACATTTGTGAGACTTGCTTGTGAGGGAAAAGTTGACTTTGCTTGTGCTTGCTTGGAACTGTTTGCAGTGTATGCAAAGTGAAGTGTTAAACACCAACTAAAAAATTCAGTGTTTTCTTGGTCTTTAGGGAAAACCCCTAAAATTTTAAAACTATTCAAATTGTCAAGGAATAATTTGAATACCAAATTTCTATATTTCTATTCAGCCAAGCAATATTAAGAATGCCATTTTTTGAAGTGACTGCTAATCCACACTTAGCAATAATATAAAGTATTAATGGATACCAGTAAAAAGGAGATTGTTCTTGTTTTCATAAGCATTCTTTAAAAACTGAAAAGTCTATAAAGTTCATAATGTGAGAAAACATTTAATGCTAGTTCCATTAAATATTTTGTTTTGTAAAATTAAAGAATATCATAAATTTTATTTTATAATTTGGTAAAATTTCACGATAGGAAGGAATACTTTCCTACACAATTAAGTATTCAAACTACATTTCAAAAAAATTTTCAATTCCATTTTTTATACTCAATTACTTTCTATCCAATTATGCAGTCTTGCTCTTAGCATTGGAAGGGATGGACCAGGTCAGCTCAATCATATTAGGACTGTGAAGCAACAAGCTAGTGTGCTGCAAAAGCTATGGACTGAGGCTTAGATTTCAAAACTCATGTAAAGTAACTGAACTTTAGTTTTTAGATCATCTAATGTGTATGAACTAGTGGAATGCCAGCCACATATATATTTTATGCATATATTTATTGGCATTATGTAGGACTTCGTGTGGTGAGACAGAATGACTGCTACTCTCACATACAATTCTCTACTTCCTTTTCAGCAACTCCAGAAACCCCACTGCCTTCCCCACCCCAGGGCTCAGGACAAGAACAGTACAAAATCACTGCAAACCAAGCTTCGGTCATTTCACACCAATCCCTCTCTAAACCAAAGCAGTTGTGAGAATGTGCTTGCTTCTGACTGGTACTGTGTAAATGTGAAACACATTGGTCTGCAAATCTCTCAGGATGGTACTTTTGCCAACTTTTAGGCAAGGCTTCTTCATGGTGCTCTTGTAAGCTGGTCTCCTATTTTCTTGTTTGTAAACACATTTTGTTTATTGATGATGTAAAGTAAAGCCTTTACATGCAACCTATGTATATTTGAATTTGAAGTTGTTTTATAGTGTATTGTTTCAAACTATCCATGCACTGTGCCCAAACCACTGGGATCTTATGTATGACTTTCATTTTTTTTTCATAATATTAATTTAAATCTGTAAATAATTGCTTTGCTGTGATGTGATGCAGAATTAAGTATTCTTTTTGGTTAAAAGTAGATCAGAAATACTAGGTAATATAAAAATTAACCAAATTAAAAAAATAAATTGTAAACTTGCAGATTAGAAAAGGTGAGCAGTAACTGTAGACTAGAGCATTTCTCTAAAAGATAATATGTCAGGGCCTTCTGTTGCCTGCAGGAAATGTTTCCGTGCTAACTTCAGAGAACTAACGCCATTTTAGAGATGACTGAATAGTCTCTGCAATGTGAAGAGGTTTGCTAAGGGAGACAAGTTGCTTCTTTCAGTTAGGATACAAGCCAAAGTAAAACAAAGACATACTAAACAATGGCGCAACCGAAAGGGCATTCATTTCTCACTCCTGGGAAATGTGAAAAGTCACCCATTCATTAGAACTTAGCGCATCCCCACACCGGCTCTCTGTGAAGCCAGGTGAGGCTTTTTATAGGGACCTTGGTCAGTTCAAGTTATGCAACTCTAGGGGAAAGGATACTGGGGAACAAGTCATTGAACACATTTGTGCAAACCAACTCTGCTTGGCTTTAATGAGATTAGGTAACAAAAGAACACATGAAAGTCTACAGTGTGGTTTTGAAAATTTACAGGGCTGACAATGGAGTATTATTTGCCATGGTACTCATAAATGAAAGTGACAAATACAGAACTTCTTACAGTATTTTCAGTGAGGATAAGAGGCCGGTTTTGTACCTTATTCAATCCTCACATCTTCCCCTAAAACACAAAGAAGATAAAAAACATTGGTTTTGATGACTCAGAAAAATTTGCAACCTAGGAATGTACTGAACATCTTAATCTAGACTGAGAAGTAACCCCAACCACAGCTGGGGTTTCTGTTAAAAGCATTAATCATAGGACACCTCATAAAGCAGCAATATCTCTCTCTTTGTGTGCACTCTCTCTCTCTCTCTCCCTGCCTGCCTCTGTTGTTCTTTCCCTATATTTACAGATGAAGTGAAAAACGCTTGAATATATATATGTAAATATTATTATATAAGTATATAAAATTGAATATATATCAAAAGAAAAAAGCACCTGAAGCTGTAAATTTTTGGGTTAAAGTTTTCCATGGCCCTTCACAGTTTCTCAGATTAGGAGTCATAATTTCCACCTACTTACAAGTGTAAAGATCATTTTAATATTAACTAACTTGGCTCCAAAAGGGAAGTAATGTGGCAGCTATCAGTGGGTTTCACAGAATCAACTGTATTTATTCAGATGCTATTATCTTTATGAAACTAAAATGTAACCTTGATGGAGTGGGGAGGAAGAGAGAGAGAGAAAGAGAGAGAGAGAGAGAGAGAGAGAGAGAGAGAGAGAGAGAGAGAGAGAAACAGAAAAGGGTGTTCCTTAATTCTTAATATTTTGAAAATTTACTCTTGTTTCATGAAATAAGCAAGTTACTAAATTTCATGAATGCAAATATCAACTGTAGGGTTTGTCTACTTGTTTAATGTTATTCTCCTAAAAGAAAAAAAATAGTCTATCCACACCACTATAACAAAATATCGTATATTGGGAAGAATAAACAGAAATTTATTTCTCATAGCTTTCCATGTTGCAAAGCCTAAGAGCAAAGAATTGTCAGATTCCCTCTCTGATCTGTAGATGGTGATTTCTGAGACAGCTCTCAGGGGACCACTTTGGTAAGAACACCATTCTCATCCATGTAGGCTTCACCCTCATGACCTCTTTACCTGCCAGCATCTCCACCTTCGCATATCATCATATTTTTGACTGTATTGCAACATAAATGAGGAGGCATATGGACATTCAGACCATAGCAAATAATTTAAAAATACAAAATATAAAATTTATTTTTGGTGAATAATGTATTCATGAAGATTTACTGAAGATATATGTTTTAGAAACTATTGCTAATAATTTTTAATAACTGTGGTCAGGGAACTTGTAATATAGTATTTTTATATACCGAGCTGTCAGAAACAGTGGAAAAGAAGAATTGATGTTTTCAGTGTATTATCATGATACGATTAAGAAAAGTCATTGCTTTTATATAATACACTTTTTCAGGTGATAGATAAAAATAATTTATTGTGAAATAATTCATTTTATAAATGCAAAATTATTTTTATAAATTTCATTGTTGAAAATCAGAAATGAATAGTTTTTTAAATGTTGAATTACAGTGAGATTAAAATATTTCTAAACTGTGATGCCTGTTTTACTGAACTTTCTAAATAAAAACTGAGAAAAATATAGCTAAAATGGGATGCTTCATTAGTATTTAAAACCATTTTTATAATTTTGCAAATATTGTCATTGTGTTATATTGATATGGAGTGGTCTTTACATAATACTCATAGAGGCAGAAAAGATTAATTTTAGCATATCTCCAAGTAATCAAAGGTTTGGACTCTGAGGGAAAAGATAATTTTTATGCATATCTCTATTCCTACAGCTGTGTTTGTTTTCTGATTTGGTACCAGTAATTGACATATATGATTTAAGATGGCCTAAACATCCTGTGTGCATACCTTAGTACATAAATTGCTAGCCTAGTTAGTGTATTAGCTACTTTTGAATTTCTGTGATAAATCACAAAAACCAAGGCAATTTATAGAAGAAATAGTTTATTTGGGCTTATGGTTCCAGAGGAGTAAGAGTCCATCACCATGATGGCAGGGGAAGCAGCAGGCACAGTGGTGAGCATGACCCCTGCCACAGCAAGCTTGTATCCTGAACTGCAGCCATGAAGCAGAATAAGCAAAAGCTGAAGAATTTTTAAATTCTCAAAGCCTGCCCAGAGACATACTTCCTCCAGCAAGGCCACCCTTCCAAAATCTACCCAAACAGTGCCACCAACTGGGGACCAATTATTTGAAAGCCCTAGTCAATGGTGGCAGGGGAAGGGAGAGAGGATGGGCATCTAATTCAAACCATTGCATCTAGGTATTTATAATTAAAGATTTGGGATGTAAAATTTATAAATTATGATGACCAATGTGATGGTTCATATTAATTATAAATTTAGCATCACCTAGAATCACCAAAGAGGCAAGCCTCTGGATATACCTGAGAGAGATTGCATGGCTGAGGTCAGCCTCTAGGCATCCCTGAGAGAGATTACATGGATTAGGTTAGCCTCTGGACATACATGAGAGAGATTACATGGATTAGGTTAGCTTCTGGGCACACTTGAGAGAGATTACATAGATTAGTTTAGCCTCTGGGCACACCTGATAGAGATTACATGGATTTGGTTAGGATCTGGACACACCTGAGAGAAATTATCTAGACTAGGTTAATTGAAGTGAAAAGACCAATCCTAAAGGTAGACAGTGCAATTCCTTGGGTTTCAGTTTCAAACTGCACAAAGAAGAGAAAGCTTGCTGAGTACAGACGTTCATTGTTCTCTCTTTATGACTGGATGCAGTGTAAGCAGCTGCCTCAAGTTCTGATGCTTGTGACGTCCCTGCCAAGATGAACTGTAACCACAAACTGTAAGCCAGAATCAATTCTTCCTTCTTAAAGTTGTTCCTGAAAAGTACTTTAGCAAAGCAATGATATTGGTGAAATTATTAAGGCCACTCCATGTAGTTAAAAGGAGATTTATTTAATGGCGTAATTTACAAGTTAAGGGATAGGTAGGTCGCAGGGTCTGGGGAAGGTGTATCACAGTCCAGCGGTGTTCTCTGGAGCTCTGCTTGGCCCACCTTCACTGTCCAAGATCCCAGAACCGAGTGCGTGCGCCGCCCATCCAGATCTCAGGTCTCCAGGTGCCTCCCTTGGCCCCGCCTTGTAGGCATGACAGTTGCCGAAGACTCAATGGGGATTGGAACTTCCAGATCAAAGCTGGAATGGCTACCCACTACATCTCCCCCTTTTTGTCTAAATAAGAAAGTTCTAACCTAATACAAGACTATATACAAAGGAATGGTTATCAAATATTGTCCAGGAATAATGAGGGATAATGACCTAGATAAGATGGAACTACAACCAATGTAAACAATATCAAGCAAGAAACACATACTAAAATCCAGAGAAGTATAGAGCATAGGTAAATGGCATGTTACAAAGATCATTCCAAAAGGTGTCCTATCCTAAAGAACCTGAATCTAATACTTAATATGTTCTATCTACTAAGTTGTAACTATAACTGCTAGTCTTCAGTCCCATCAAAGACCTGAGAAGGAATATAATGGTACCTGAGAAATGGTAGATGGATGCAAGCAACTTTCAGGAATCTTGCAAGAGTAGACCGAGACAGCTGGCAGCCTGGACAGTCACCTAATGTTTCTCAGCATTGTTGGTGCATTCAAATTGGCTACAGGCCTAAAGTATCTGACAGACCATTTTCCGAAGCAGGAATTCTGAAAGACCATCTTACCCTGTCTTGGCAGAGTACAGTGGTCGCTTGTGTCCCGCTTGTCCAGAAAGGACAGCATTGCATTTGTACTGTCAGCTGTCGAGGCAAGGGCAGTTCTTTGCCCAGTAGGCCATTTTGTGCCAAGAAGACAAACTTCCAAATGGAAATGTCTTAGAAGCCCAACATTCTCTCGGGATCAAATTGGTGCAGCCAGGAGCAATTGTGTCTCACGTCAACAGAATTCTAAGTTATTTAAATGCCATTTTATCTAGGTCTATGAAGTGTTTGAAGATTACCTGTCCATCTGATCTATGTATCTGTAAATCTGGATAACCTAACTAACATAACTATAAAGATGACAAGCATAGGTGACTATAAATCTATAAGTCTTATCTACCGAAATAACCTAAGGACTAAGGCTTCACGTAAACAAGGTAAACAGTCTATAAGCAAGTGTATGGTAAAGAACAATGACTTCAAAATTGTGACAATACACAAGATGTTATAACAGAGGTAGGAGTATATAGTGCGATATGCAATATGACAATAATCTTAAATATATATC